CATTGTGTCTGTGTGCTTTTCCCCCTCCTGGATAAGGGCGAGGGGAGCGCCTCCGAAGCCCTCCCCCCGTCTCGGAGGCACACGACCCCGCCCTTCCAGGAAGGCGCCCCACAGTCGCAGCGCCGGCGGCGGCCCAGCGCGGCCGAAGCGGCAGGCCGGGCTGCGGCGTCGCGAAAGCACCGCAGGAGGCCAGAGCGGCCCTTCCAAGAAACACCCTGCCTCCTTGTTAAGAGCACATTGAGAAATCTCTGCTTGCTGGGGGAATTATCGGCGGCCAGGGGGGGGGGAAAGTAAGAAGGAGAAGGCCTTCTCAGAAGGCGGCGGGGCTTCTCAGAAGCGCTCCAACCTCCTGAGAACCTGCAAGTTTTCATTGTATTCGGGGAAGGCTTAGAAAACTTTTCGGATGGCCCTGTCCCCCTCGCACCATCCCCTGTCGCGCGCCGCCGCCACCGCCGTCGTCGTCGGCCGCCCGGCGTCGTCGTCGGCGTCGTCGTCGGCGGCGGCGTCGTCGTGATCGTCGTCGTCGTCGTCGTCGTCGTCGTCGTCGTCGTCGTCGTCGTCGTCGTCGTCGTCCGAGCACAGCCCACCCCAAATCGTTCCCTGGATCGCGCTGGGGGTCCACCGTTGCCAGCCTTCCAAGCCGCGCCCGGCCGTGGCGACGGGGACCTCCACAAACGCAGTCCCAACAACGGCACGGCGACGCCGCCGCAGCCGCCGCTCGCCATCGTCGCCGCCGCCGCCGCCGCCGCCGCTGGCCGCTCGCCGTCGCCGTGCATCGCTCGCTCGCCGCCGCTGGCGGCCAGAGCCGCGCCTGCAAGCCGCCGTGCCCGCGACGGCAGCGCTGCCGACGCCGCCTTCGACCGCCGCAGGAGCGGGCTCGGCTGGCGCCGGCGCCGGCGCCTCGCCGGCTGGGCCCAGCCGGCAGGCGCGGTGGTAACCCCCGCACCTGGGCGCGGAGCGGGGCAGGGAGCGGAGGGGCAGGAAGGGGGGGGGGAGGAGGGTCGAGCCTCGGGGACAGAGGCGAGGGGGGGGGGCAGGAGGGGGGGGGGGGAGGAGGCAAGGACGGGCGGGAGGGGGGGAGGGGGAGCGGGGGAGGCGGGAGGGGGGAGCGAGGGGGAGAGGGATGGGATGAACAGGAGCATGAGCAGCGAGTTGTTGTTGTTTTTAACCAGTTTCGATACTCGCGTGACAGGGGCGCTCTGGCCCATCGAGTCGCAGAGGCCCTATCGTAAATTCGCACAGGAAACGAAAACACAATGTCTGCCCTGCTTCACTGTGTACGTGTGTATGCGCGGAACTTCAATTATCCCAGCCCGTCCGTGTAGAAACGCATCGCTATGCCCTGTCCACTATCTACCAAAAGCATGCACCGCGAGCATCTCCAGCTCAGCACAGGCGCCACAGGGCATGCCCGTAAAGATTCGCAGGCGCTGCACACGCCCGCGTTGCACATATCAATGGCTCCACGTGTCTCTCACGGCCATGTTGGCCGCTGTGTCTTTCTCAAGGCACAGGTCACAGTCACGCACTTCTGAATTTCAGCACAAAGCGAGGCGAACGCACGGTCGACGCAGCAGCGGCACCTCGAAGACTCCTCCAGGGCGCGTGGTACCGCAGCCGGGCACGCGTGCGACGCTCGAGCACTCGTGCCGACGTGCACCGAACGCGCGTGCAACGCTCCGCCACTTCGGCACCATTCCTGTCAGCACGCCGCGGCGCTCGGCATTCTGACCCTTCGCGTCGTCTGGACGAACGGCAGCGGCAGGAGCTGGAGTGGAAGGATCGGGAGGGGCAGCAAGGCCGGGGGAGGGCGAAGGACGCGAGAGGACGGGGGTGGCGACAACGATGAGGAGGGGCCTGGAGCCAAAAGCGTGGCCCGCGCTGGGGCGAGAGCGCCATCCTGAACGACGGGAGCAGCGGAGGTCCGAAAGTGGGGACCGCGCCGCAGCGGCAGGACCGCTCTGAAGGACCGAAAGCGACCCGATCCCAAACGACACGTAAAGCACGTTGAGATCCTGTGTGGCTGCAACACGCGGAGAGGGCCGAACATCCTCTGGACAGAGTCAGGGCAGAGAGGAGAGCAGTTAGTATTTCGAGCGTGCAATTAGGAAAGGGAGGGAAGGGGATCGGGGTAGGGTAGGGGGAGAAGGGGCGGGGAGGGGAGAAGAGGAGGTGGGGAGGAAGGGAACAGGGGAAGGAGGAGGAGGAGGAGGATCGGGAGGAACGCTACAATCCCGAGAATTAAAATCCGCTCAGCGTCAGAAAAGGAGCGGGGGAATGGGGGAGGGGAAGGGGGAGGGGAAGGGGGAGGAGGGAGAGCAGGGGGGGGAGAAGGAGGAGGGGGAGGAGGGGGGCGAGGAGGGGGGGACAGGCTCCAGCACCTGCACGCCTCGCCGCCGACCACGGCGGCGCTCGACGGCCCCCCAGCCTTCGGCGACGGCCTCCCAGCGCCGAGAACGGGGTCTGGTGCGGGGGGCGGCTGGGCCGGGTCGACCAGCACCTCGGGCCGAGGGACCCATTCAATGAGCTGCTCCTCCCACCTCCTCGTCGCCTCCTGCCTCCTTCTCCGCCGACGCCGCCGCCGCCGCCGCCTCCTCCTCCTCCTCCTCCTCCTAATCCTCCTGCCTCACTCCTCTCCTCCTCTCTTTCCGTCGTCTCTCTCTCTTTCCTCTTCATCCGTCGTCTCCTCCTCCTCTTCCTCCGCCTCAGCTTCTCAATTTCCTCCCCTCTCCCCCCTCCTCGACTCCGCCTCCTCCTCCTCTCAATCCTCCTCCTCCTCCTCCTCCTCCTCCTCCTCCTCCTCCTCCTCCTCCATCCTCCCTGTCGCACCCCGAGGCCGTTCGAAAGGGCGGGCCGGACGTTTCGCCTGAGACGTCCTCACCACATATGACCCCGAAACTCAAAAATAGACAACAACTTCACACATGGAGGCCGGGTGGTTTTCAAAATAAGGCTCTCGTCTTAGCGCCGCGAACATGTGTTTTCAAAATTTGCAAGAGATTCACGGGTTGAGGGCGGGCCAGTTTCAAAATGGGGCTATCGCCCCAGCGCCGCGCACATTCGTCTTAAACATTTGAAAGGGCTTCACGGATGAAGAGCGAGCCGTTTTCACAATGTAGCTCTCGCCTTCGCGCCGCGCACACTCGTCTTAAACATCTGCCAGAATTTCACGGATTGAAAACGGTTTGTTTTCAAAGTGTGGCTCTCGCCTTAGCGCCCCATGCATTCGTTCAAACAAACAGCAATAACTTTGCGGATTCCCCTGGCCAACGTACCAGAAGTGGTGTTTGGGAAGGACTCGTGATTGCGAGGGTGCAACAATTACGTTGGTTCGTGGGGTTGAAACCCCAGGAAGTCCCAAGAATGTTGCTTTGGCGCGATCCAGGATCGTCGAGACGCCACAATAAGGTTGATCCGTGGCGTTAGAGTCCCGAGAATGGTGGTTTGGCATGCTTCAGGGTCTTCAAACGGTTGTCTCCCAATGAAGCAGTTCCCCCAGTGGAGATGAACCCTTGTAGGGGCCTATGAAGAGGGAGTTTGGAGGGAGGGTGTATTCCAACATCGTCGATAAATCTTAGGTTTACACTGGTCATCCTCCTCCTCCTCCTCCTCCTCCTCCTCCTCCCTCTCCCCCCCCCCAATTCTCCCCCTCCCATCCGTTTCTCGCCCACCTCCTCCTTGGACTCCTTCTTCTCCTACTCTTCTCGTCCTCTCCTCCCCCTCAGCCTCCTCCTCCTCTTCATCCTCCCTCATCCTCCTCCGTCTCTCCTCTTCCTCCCCTCCTCCTCCTCCTCACTCCTCCCCCTCCTTCTGCTGTTTTCCTCATGCGCCTTCCTCCTCCTCCTCCTCCTCCTCCTCCTCCTCCTCCTCCTCCTCCTCCTCCCCCTGCGCGATCATTAAAGGAAGAGGCGGAGAAACTTCCTTCGATCCTAAACAAAAAAAGAGGGGGGGCCATCAGAGCGAGACCTTTGGGTTACCTCGCCTGGGCTGCGATCCACCCAACCGAGGGCCATCGACAGCCCCCTCGAAAAATATGCGACCAATCTTCCCACATAAGGATGTTACAGGGCTAAAGGGATCCAGGGGGGCACAAAAAGCAAAAACAAAACCCGAAGACCAAGGACGTGCAGCTGCAGTCACGAAAAGGCCGGCGAAGGCGAGGAGGGGAAGTAGCATGGAAGGGGAGGACGGAATAGAGGACCCAAAATAGTAAGGAGCACGAACCCTGTTGAATAAAATGGTACTCCGATACCCTCCTCGCTCTGGCGGGGCCTCCCTGGAGGTGCGGGAGGAGCAAGAAACCGAATAAACAATAACGTATTCCGAAACCCTCCTCGCTCTGGCGGGGCCCTCCTGGAGTGGTGGTGGGGGTACAAGACCTGATAAATCATAGGTGACTCCGCTACTCTCATCGCTCTGGCGGTGCCTCCCTGAAGCAGTAGGAGGGGCACAAAACTTGATCAGAGTGAAGGAGCCGAACGGTCATTCATTGTCCCTGGGTGCGTGGCTGAATAAGGAATTCGTGGTTAGAATTCTGATTGCTGCATTGTTGTGGTTGTTGCTGCTGCTGTTGTTGTTGTTGTTGTTGTTGTTGTTGTTGTTGTTGGTGTTGTTGTTGGTGGTGTTGTTGTTGCTGCTGCTGTTGTTGTTGTTGTTGATGTTGATGTTGCTGGTGTTGTTGGTGTTGTTGGTGTTGTTGTTGTTGTTGGTGTTGTTGTTGTTATTGCTGTTGTTGTTGTTGTTGCTGTTGTTGTTGTTTCTGTTCCCAACCATCCTGTGGTGTTGGGCCCTCGTTTTGAAGAGACGTCGCCCCGCGTTCCTTCCGTCCTTCCTTTCCCGCTGCCCCCTCCCTCCTCCCACCACCCCATTTCGGCACACCCTTCACGCGCTTCGTGGCCCCACAAGGAGCTCCACCGAAGGCCCCAGTGCTGCCGCCCGCATGCGTCACGCACACTCAGTTCGGCACACCCCTCGCGCGTTTCGTGGCCCCATAGGGAGCTCCACCGAAGGCCTCAGTGCTGCCGCCCGCATGCGTCACGCACACCCAATTCGGCACACCCGTCACTCGCTTCGTGGCCCCATAGGGAGCTCCACCGAAGGCCCCAGTGCTGCCGCCCGCATGCGTCACGCACACTCAATTCGGCACACCCCTCACGCGATTCGTGGCCCCATAGGGAGCTCCACGAAGGCCGCAGTCTGCCGCCGCCATGCGTGCGGACACACTCATTTCGCGCACACCCCCACGCGTTTCGTGGCCCCATAGGTGAGCTCCACCGAAGGCCCAGTGTTGCCGCCCGCATAGTCACGCACACTCAATTCGCAAACCCTCAACGCGCTTCAGTGGCCCCATAGGAGCTCCACCGAAGGCCCCAGTGCTGCCGCCCGCATGCTCACGCCCACTCAATGCAACCCCCTCACGCGATTCGTGGCCCCATTAGGGAGCTCCACGAAGGCCCAGTCCTGCCGCCCGCATGCGTCACGAGCACAATCAATCGGCACACCCATCACGCGCTTCGTGGGCCCCATAGCGAGCTCCACCGAAGGCCCCAGTGCTGCCGCCCGCATGCGTCACGCACCACTCAATACAGCACACCCCTCACGCGATTCGTGGCCCCATAGGGAGCTCCACCGAAGGCCTCAGTGCTGCCGCGCGCATGCGTCCCGCACACCCAATTCGGCACACCCCTCACGCGTTTCGTGGCCCCATAGGGAGCTCCACCGAAGGCCTCAGTACTGCCGCCCGCATGCGTCACGCACACTCAGTTCGGCACACCCCTCACGCGCTTCGTGGCCCCATGAGGAGCTCCACCGAAGGCCTCAGAGCTGCCGCCCGCATGCGTCCCGCACACTCATTCGGCACACCCCTCACGCGTTTCGTGGCCCCATAGGGAGCTCCACCGAAAGACCCAGTGCTGCCGACCGCATGCGCCCCGCACACCCAATTCGGCACACCTCTCACGCGTTTCGTGGCCCCATAGCGAGCTCCACCGAAGGCCCCAGTGCTGCCGCCCGCATGCGTCCCGCACACTCATTTTGGCACACCTTTCACGCGCTTCGTGGCCCCAAAGGGAGCACCACCGAAGGTCCCAGTGAGTGTGCCCGCATGCGTCCCGCAGACCCCATTTCGGCACACCCCTCACACGCTTCGTGGCCCCATAGGGGAGCTCCACCGAAGGCACCAATGCTGCCGCCCGCATGCGTCCCGCACACCCATTTCGCCACACCCCTCACGCGAGTCGTGGCCACATAGGGAGCTCCACCGGAGGTCCCAGTGGGTGTGCCCGCATGCGTCCCGCACACCAATTTCGGCATACCCCTCACACGTTTCGTGGCCCCATAGGGAGCTCCACCGAAGGCCCCAGTGGGTGTGCCCGCATGCGTCCAACACACTCATGTCGGCACACCTCTCACGCGTTTCGTGACCCCTCACACGTTTCGTGGTCCCAGAGGGAGCTCCACCGAAGGTCCCAATGGGTGTGCCCGCATGCGTCCCGCACACCGATTCCGGCACACCCCTGACACGTTTTGTGGCCCCATAGAGAGCTCCACCGAAGGTCCCAGTGGGTGTGCCCGCATGCGTCCCGGGTGTGCCCGCATGCGTCCCGCACACTCATTTCGGCACACCCTTCACGCGCTTCGTGGCCCCATAGGGAGCTCCACCGAAGGTCCCACTGGGTGTGCCCGCATGCGTCCCGCACACCAATTTCGGCTCACCCCTCACACGTTTCGTGGCCCCATAGAGAGCTCCACCGAAGGTCCCAGTGGGTGTGCCCGCATGCGTCCCGCACACCCATTTCGCCACACCCCTCACGCGATTCGTGGCCACATACGGAGCTCCACCGGAGGTCCCAGTGGGTCTGCCCGCATGCGTCCCGCACACCCATTTCGGCACACCCCTCACGCGTTTCGTGGCCCCATAAGGAGCTCCACCGAAGGTCCCAGTGAGTGCGCCAGCATGCGTCCCGCACACCCATTTCGGCACACCCCTCACGCGCTTCGTGGCCCCATAAGGAGCTCCACCGAAGGTCCCACTGGGTGTGCCCGCATGCGTCCCGCACACATATTTCGGCACACGCCTCACATGCTTTGTGGCCCCATAGGGAGCTCCACCGAAGGCCCCAGTGGGTGTGCCCGCATGCGTCCCGCACACCCATTTCGGCACACCCCTCACACGCTTTGTGGCCCCATAGGGAGCTCCACCGAAGGTCCCAGTGGGTGTGGCCGCATGCGTCCTGCACACACATTCCAGCACACCCCTCACACGCTTCGTGGCCCCATGGGGAGCGCCACCGAAGAAGATATTCACAATTGCGGTACTCACAATTGAATATGGTTGGGTCCTTCGCCAGGATAATGTTTGCTGTTGTTGGCGAACTCCTACTTCTGAAGAATAATTATTGTTGATCCCCCACGTCCTGCACATTGTTTTTTCTCAATTTACATGCCCTCCCCAGAGCTCGCACCCTCTTTATATATAATATAATATATTATAATATAATA